ATCTGCCCCCCCGGGCCGGGCGGGAGCGGGTCCCTCCTCCCGGCGCCGGCATCTCTCGGGGGCCACGCGCGGTTTTGTGTGCTTGGTCGGGTCGTGTGTGTCCCCCCGTGTCCCCCCCCCGCCGTGCGCTGCCTCATGGCTGAGCTCCCCTGAAAAACATCCCGGTGGCGGCGTGAGCCGGTGCTGAGCTGCGTTCCCGGGCTGCGGGGGGAGAGCTGGGGGGCTGAGGATGGGGATGGGGTGAGGAAAGGGATGGGGTGAGGATGAGGATGGGGTGAGGAAGGGGCCGTAGGCCTCCCCCGTGGGGCACCCAACACAGAAGCTTCTTTTGATTGGTTTCACGGGACAAGGGAAAACAATAAATGTGCAGTAAAGGCCCGGATAGTTTTAAAAACACGGTGCAATTCTTTAATTTTTTTGAATTTGCCAGTGGTGCTCTTTAAAACAAGAGCCCCGACTGTGTTCCAGGCGGTTCAGCATCAGCACACGGTGCTGTAAGTATCTCCACGCGCTCCTGCATCCCTCCGTGGTGGTTGTGCTCAGGCCGCGCTCTTTGTCTCGCCCCTTTTAGCCTTGGCGATCACTTTTCTCACAACACTGGAGAGCAGGAGAGGAGGGAAGGCTCTTAAATGAGGCTGCAGTCCCACTTTTACAGAAATGCCACTGCTTTCTAATTTTTCTGGTTAAAGGCTCTGCAAATCTGACACCTGAACCAGTGTCATGCTTCGAAGTGAGGGAAGCCCTTGACTGTGAAAACGAACAAATGTCAATAAATTACCGGGTTAAGAAGCTGCGCTCCCAGGTCTCTGTAAGTGGAGCTGCTGGAGGCGGCAGGGGCCTGGCTGAGCTGCCGGACGTTTCCAGACCTAAAGCTGCTGAGAAGTTCCCTCAGTCTCTGAAGGAGCCCGGGGGGTGCCCGGGGGGGCAGGTCGGCAGTGGCAGAGGCTGCCCCGGGCTGCCCCCGTGCTGGCACCGGAGCCGCCGGGCCTGGCTGTGCCGCCTCGACAGCCCGGGCTGGTGCTGCCCTTCCCAGGGCACCTGCCCTCCTCACAGGGCACCTGCCCCCCTCTCCCCCGACAACTTTATGTGGTTCCTTGGCAAAATACCGTTGGGGCTTTGGGTAGTCACTCAACTTGTACGATTGAAGGGCAAAATGTTGAGTCCTGGGCTTAATGAAAGCTCAGAATGAGTGAGGCAACATCTAAAAAGTGGTTTGTTTTTTTTCTCTTAGAGTGACCGGCTTTTAATCAAAGGAGGAAAAATTGTCAACGATGATCAGTCATTTTATGCAGACATTTATGTGGAAGATGGTTTAATAAAGTAAGTTAAAAATTTATATTTGATAATGTAATTTCCAAGCATGATACAGTGCCATGTGATTTGAACAAGGTTCCTTTCTGTCATTTTTCTCCTGGAACTATGTTCCCTTTTTGAAAAACAAGCTCTTTTAGCATAGTGTCAGCAGGAACTACTTCAGTAGGATGGAACCAGTTAAGTGTGACAAAGGCACGTGAGCGCGGTCCCTGGGTGACGGGGCCCAAGGCTGCTATCGGGTGCCAGAGCCGGGGGTGGGGTGGGGTGGGTGCTGGCGGGGTGTCACACCCCGGCCCCGCTCCTGCAGCCGACCGAGCCCGAGGCCTGGCCCCTCGCAGCGCTGCTCCCCCCAGGAGCACTCGCCCCCCCTGCGAGGGGCCGGTCTGAGGTTCGGGGTTGGACTGGGTGAGCTTCAGGGGCTTTTCCAACCTGGATGATTCTGTGGGTCTGAGGCCTGGGCAGTGCCCGTGGCTACGTGCCTACGAGTTGGTTTTGCATCTTCACTGAAAAGTTGTTGCTAACGGACAGGATTGTTTAATACCATTTGATATCATTTTCAGACAAATTGGAGAAAACCTGGTTGTTCCCAGTGGTGCAAAGACCATCGATGCCTACAGCCAGCTGGTGGTGCCGGGGGGGATAGACGTCCACACCAGGCTGCGGGTGCCCGTCCTGGGGATGAGCAATGCTGACGGCTTCTACCAGGGCACCAGGGCAGCCCTGGCCGGAGGCACCACCATGATCAGTAAGAGGGAGCAGCATCCCAACAGGCCTCTCAGTAGAACCTTGCTTAGCAAAATACACAGGGCCCAGTATCATTGCAGAGATCATTTACCCTCATAGCAGGGGAATGTTAATTCCTGCTGTAGAAATCCAAGCATTACAAAGCTAATCAAAATGCATTATCGACCTTTCAGAACCTCCTTGCGTTGCTACACACAAATATTAAAAACATAGAGCGGTGCCTGCTTCACCTCGTAAGAATAAAAGAGAAGAACACTTTAAACACCTTTTAATATGTCTTCAATAGCTCGCAAGTTTCCAAGAGTTTTTCAGCTCTGTGAGGATGGGTTCCGTTTGTGTGTTAATGTAGAATAATTCTGATTTCTGTTCTGTCCTTGTTCTGGTCCCAAGGCCCCCACTGCAGCTCGTGACTGAAGGACCAGGCTCAGCAGGTCCTGGCGTAGCTCTGTACCGACCTCGCAGCTGGTAGCGCGGGGGGGACAGAGACGGGAGAGGTGCAGTACCTGGTGGGCTGTGGGTGGCCGCTCCTGGAAAATGCCCGGGGAGCCGCGCACAAGTGTGCAAGGACACGCGTTGCTCACCGGCCTCTCTCAGAGGCTGTGCTAGCTGGGCTGTGGGGAAAAAGGCGTAAAACCAGCCGTAACGTGGAGTTTGTTTGTTCCATTTGTTTCACTTTACCTGGGAAATTTATTACCCTTCATCTTCCATCAATGCTATAAAAAAGAACGAGTATTAAAACTCCTCCTTGTCACAGCAGCAAAGCCTTGCCCAAGGCGCTGGTGGCTGCTGCAGCCCCGGGGGTTCCTGCAGCCCCTTTCCGTCGCGTGCTGACGCTCTGCAGTGTTTCCCCAGTTGACCACGTCTGCCCGGACGCTGGGACCAGTCTCCTGGCTGCCTACGAGCAGTGGCGCGGGGCCGCCGACAGCCAGGCCTGCTGCGATTACTCGCTGCACGTCGACATCCCGCGCTGGCACGAAAGCCTGAAGGAGGAGCTGGAAGCCCTGGTGAAGGACAAGGGTGAGGACAGAAGGAGCCATAATCGGGCGAGAAACCACCCGCATCGTAATTGTTGCAGCAGATAAGGAAGGCTCCAGCGGGTTGGCGCTAGTTTGTGCTGCTCGGCCTGGGAGGGTGTGGGCAGGGGGGTGGCACCAGCCTCACACCGTAAGGGCTCGGTCGCGGGCTCTTGCCTTTGGGCTGTGTAGAGTCACGAAATCGATTGGGGCACGCTGGGCTGGTGGAAGGTGGCCCTGCCCAGGGCAGGGGGGTGGGACGAGACTGTTTTTAAGGCCCCTTCCAACCCAAACCAGTCTGTGATTCTGTGATTTAAATAAAAATGTTCAAGACAGGGCTTACAGAATGAAGCTAAGCTTTAGGCTTTCCACAGAGATTTCATTCATGCCTATAAATTTCTGCACACCCTGGAGCATCCGCTGGACACGGCTTACTGGAAAGCAGGTCATGCGGCAGGAATTCATGCATTCATTAATAACTTATTTCCATGTTTGGAACTACATTTTGCTTTCAGAAATGCTAATGCAGAGCTAAGTGACTTCGGTGTAATTTGCAGTCTTGCAAGCAAGGGCTTAATTGGTCAATTAACATAGAAATTTGCAGTGAATTTCCTATTAAAATGCAGAGTGGCTGAAGTAATGCAGCTATTCCGAGCTTATACTGGCTGTTTTTCATCTGTGTGTTCCCATGAAATACAGTTTATTTGTAATTTGATCGTAGTTTGGGATTGGTTGTTGCCTCTATCCATATAAAATACAGTAGCAATTCTTCGGCTTTGACTCAGTGCTTCATGAATCATCTTTTATGTTAGAAATACGGTGTGCGAGGCTGTGTGCAAAGAACTGCTCATCTATTTCTCTGGCTAAATAGCCGTGCCCTAAATAACAGTGCTCTAATATTAGAGAGTCTCATCTTGTGCTGTAATTTAGTCTTAGCACCAATATGCTAATTCAGAGAGAATTATCAGACTGGAGTTGGGGATAAACCATAAACTGAAACCACCCCTGGAGGGAAAACTCAGCTTGGGAGCAACACGTTTGATTCCATCCCTTCGGAATGGGTCAGGGAGAGTCAGAAATGAGAAGCGCACTGGGGGGGGGTCGGAGTTTGGTTCAGGTGTATTGTCTTCAGTGACTCCTAAGCGTTGGGGTTCGGTTCTGGTGGGGGCAGTTCCCATTTCAGCCCTTAGCCTTGCTTTGCTTTCAGCCTGACCCTAACCCTAGCCTAACCCTAGCTAGCACAGCCCCCCCCAGTTCAAGGGCCCCCTGCTCAGGGTCCGGGCACCGAGTTCTCAGCTGGGACAATGAACACACGTGTCGTTCTGTTTTCTCAAGGTGTGAACTCCTTCCTGGTCTTCATGGCCTACAAAGACAAACTGCAGTGCTCCGACGCCCAGGTAACGCAGGGGGTGGCCGGTGAGAGTCCCGGGGCGCGAGCTGCGCTGTGTCTGATGTCGGGCCACCGCTGTCTCTTGGCAGATGTACGAGATATTCTGCATCCTTCGGGACCTGGGGGCCATTGCCCAGGTGCACGCTGAAAACGGAGACATCATCCATGAGGTAGGGGATTTCTGCTCCTTGAAGGGAAGGTTGGCCGGGGTTCGTGGGTTTATGGCAAGGCCTGGCTTTCCCAGACAGGCCAGGGGCCGGGCGGGGGGAGCAGTGCCAGCCCCTCTCACCCTCAGCGGGTGCCGGGAGGGGGGGTCGGACGGGGGGATGGACCCGGCGCTGCCCCGTGCCGCTCCCTCTGCCCCGGGCCCGCAGGGACCAGCCGGTGCGGCCAGCGTGGGCAGGCAGGAGGACGAGGATGGGGGGTCCTGCTCAGATCAGCAGCATCCCCCCAGTTCCTCACACGCTCTTGGGGGTTTTGTCACAGAGATCTTGACAAGGGCTGTTCAGCGGTTCCCAACAAGCATCTTCTGGGGGTTCTTAAAGGCTGACTGCCTGCCCCGAGTGACACCATATCCCATTGCCTGTCTTCTCCAGAGTCCTTGAGAAAATCAAGGGTTTGCATCATAACGTACATTGCACTTGGCAGGGCACTCAGGAGGGTCCTTGGGATTGCAGACTTCGCCATGTACAACGCTTTTCCTTGGTACCTTTGGAAAAGAAAGCCCTGGATACGTACTGCAGGGTAGAGTTAGATTGCAGTTTTCCTTTTAGCTCATGGTCACACAAGTGTTCAGCCTGGTGTGGGAGGAGAGTTTAAAATGAAAGCAGGAGCCCAAGCCTCCAAATGGGCTTATTTGAGCAAACAGGGTAGAGGCTAATTGCCACCTCCCCAGGATTTTACCTGAGAAACCTTTTCTTCAGCTGGCTGTGAAACATAATGTGATCCCAAGCAGTTCAGTATCTTCAGAAGGAATTCTTTAAGCTGCCAGAGGATATCTGCAACAGGAATACAGAGAAACAAACAGCCTCTAAGAGCAGGATCCTTTAAAGCCTGCGAGATCCGCTCCGTAGAGTGGAACACTGTCCTTGCCCCTAACGCCATTCCCTGATACAAAACACCAGAGAGGAGCCGGGGCGAGGTGTGTCCCAGACATCTGCGCTCCGATGCAGCGTGAGCAGGCTGGGGGCAACCCAGAGTTCATTCCAGCTTCTGACCTTCACATCGCATCCAGCCCAGCCTTAGTGCCAGCAGCAAGGGCTGTAAAATCCCCCAGACCTGCAGCTGGGCTCGAAGGGGGGGAGGTCTGAAGGTGCTGCAGGGACTCAGCAATTCCCAGGCCCCAGCACGAGGTGGGACCCCAGGAAGCAGCTGCAGCCGCCTGTGGCGCGTCACGGGTCGGATCCGGGGGCTGCCAGACCCTCCGGTACTCCGGGAAGGCGTTTCATGTCCCGTGTTCACACCCCTGACAGCTCTCGCTCCTCTTGGTGCAGGAGCAGAAGAGGCTGCTGGAGCTCGGGATCGCGGGGCCGGAGGGGCACGTCCTCAGCCACCCCGAGGAGGTAACGCCCCGCCCTTGGCACAGCCGCCCCGCGGTGTCCCGGCCGTGCCCCGAGACCTCTCCTGCCCTGCGGTGTCCGCAGGTGGAAGCGGAGGCCGTGTACCGCGCCATTACCATCGCCAGACAAGCCAACTGCCCCTTGTACGTCACCAAGGTCATGAGCAGAGGGGCCGCGGATATCTTAGCTCAAGCAAAGAGGAAAGGTAAAGCCTCGTTTTGTATTTGCACACTAATGGCACCTATTTAAATACGGCCAGGAATCTCACTCCAGCTGCAAGGTTTAAGCTCTCGTTATCACCCAAGGTCTCTCACATTTTAAGGGTGCTAGAACTTGGTGTTGGTTTTTCTTCACAGAGCTAATTGCTCTGAGCTGTAAAGATTTGAGGAGATGTGCTCGAAACTTTGACACCTGAATCTCCATAGATGCAGCTTAAAAAAAAGGAAATAATTCACTTGAAATCATTTGGCATGAACTAAATGAAAAATGGATCTGGAGCAAGCTCCAAATTCAGACTGGGGGTAGAGTGGGAGGAGCTGGAAGCAGGCCTGGGGGGAGCAGGGGAAAGGGTGTGCCCAGGGACGGGGGGGCCCGGGGCCACCTCTGCCCCCAGCCCGGAGACTCGGCCAGACTCTGATGTAGAGGGAGGCGGGATGGTTTGGAGATACGGATCTCTGGTCCGAGGAGGAAATCGATGGGTTCAAAACCCGTTTTGACAGCATTTCCCAGTCGGATGAGATAATCTGAGGGATTAACGTGAGTTTAAAAAGATGAAATACGGCAACACTGATGATAAGTGAAACTGTCTCCCCGGGTTAGCCGTGGGTTCTGTCAGCAGAGTGGGGCCAGACCTCTGCGCTGGGTAAGTGCTGGCTGCCCCGCAGGCGCGGTTGTGTTCGGGGAGCCCATCACCGCCAGCCTGGGCGCCGACGGCTCGCACTACTGGAGCAAAAACTGGGCCAAAGCTGCAGCCTTCGTCACGTCCCCCCCCATCAGCCCGGACCCCACCACGCCGGATCACCTCACCTCCCTCTTATCCTGGTGAGTCCGCGGGGGCCCAGGCGGTGTTGGCGTCTCGCCCGCGGCTCCTCGAGTGCCGTTTGCAGTGACGGCATCGCCCGCAGAGCCGGGGCTGGCGGGGGGGTCGCAGCCCCTGGCTCGG